AACATGCCTGATGTTAACAGGCCACACCTGTAGCCAATAAGAACAGTGGTATAAAAGAGAGGATTGGTGGCATCTGGAGTCAGATGGCTGTGAGGATCAGGAACAGTCAGTGCTCAGAGGAGCTGCCTATGACAAACACTGAGGAGGTGTGAAACTCTGGTGATACAGAATCCTTGCACCATAATGATAATAGAACTCTTGATATATAGGACAACATGCTCACTGGGAGCAGCAGGCAGGCAAGGAGACCCCACNCTGCATTGAAATGTTCCTGTGAAATAATCCAAATTACTGCATTCAAGTATTCCTGTGAAATAATCCAAATTACTGCATTTAAAGATTCCTGTGCAAGAATCCAGAGTGCCAGAGGGCAGGGTTGGGTGGGAGATTGGGAATGAGGAATGGGATGGAATTCCATCCCTGCATCCCTGGCAGTGCCCAAGGCCAGGCTGGACACCGGGCCACTGGAAAAATACATTTTTTCATTTATATTCCAATTTCACATTCCCATGCAGCAGGTTGTGGGCTGGCCTGTGAACTCAAGGTGCAATATTTATTGGTTTTTGAGTAAGTTTTACGTGGCCTCCAGGTGTGGGCAGGTTGTGTGGGGATTCCTGAGCTTTTGGTGCTGCCAGGAGCTCGGTTACCAGTGCAGGTTAAATAACTCCATAAATCTTGAGGGCATTTTGGGGAAGCACAGTTAATTCTTACAGAGAATCATAAAAGCTGACAGCTTGAGAGCTGTGTTCTGTAATAAACCACCACTAATCTGGTCATGTACCAAATGGGGTGATGTAATCCTGGAGTTTCTTGAGCAAAAGTGACATTTTCCTTTGAGTCACATGCGAGCCCAGCTGGATGAACGGAGCTGACAGACAGACAGACAGACAGGCTCCTGTGTGGGGGTGATGCTGGGCTGTTGGCATGGCCATTTCCTTTGTGTGTTCTTGGGTTTTGTTCTGTTGGGGATTGGAAGGGCCAATCCCAGCCAGGAAAAGCTTTGGAACTGGCACTGGGTTGTAGAGAGAGATCTGAAATACTTTAAAAAATTTCTTCCTTGTTAACAGCTCTATTCTTCTGTGTGGGCTTGGACTGCAAACAACAGAATAAGCATCAAAGAGAGGAGGGCAGATTTTGGTGTTGGCTGAAGTTACTGCAGGTGTTCAGGGAAACACTGCATTTAAAAGCAGACATGTAACAAAGTTTTCCCCTGTTCTTTTCCAACTGCTCCTTATAGTTTTGTTGGTTTTTTTTTAAGTTCTGGTTTGTAAAATTCCTATTCAGAGGAAGAGTTCAAAGCATAAAAGTGTTAAAATATGTTTTCACATAAGGTCATCTGTACTTAAATTCATGGCAGGACATTGTGGATTTTTGAAATGTCTAAGGACAAAGTTTGGAAACAGCTTTTATCCACCTTGGAAACTTCTGTCTGTTCTGCTGTTCTGCTCTCAAACCACACCAATATAAAGTGCTTATTAAAGAACAATCAGCAACCTGCTATTGAACACAGTGCATGGATTTAAGAAGTGTGACTGAAATCCCGTTTTTGTGGATGTTTGCTGCTGAGAAACGAGGTTGCTTCAAGGAAATGTTGCCAAATGAGGCTGGCATGGCCAGAGGAAGGAGGCAAGTGCAGTTCATTGTTTGGGTGGGGCAGCCCTCGGTGCCATGCGGGCATCGCTGAGCGGCTCAGCTGGCTGTGCCAGGGATCTGTGCATTCCTTGGCATCGGGGTCTCTCTCTCCCAGGGCTGGCACTTCCCGGGGCCCAGAGCCCTTTGGGTGGCTGAGGTGGGAGCAGAGGGGATGCTGGCTGGGACCAGCACATCCTTTATTGGTGTGGGGCTGAGGCAGGTGCATCCTCCCATTTGCTGCTCTCTGCCCCCAAGCTGCCGGGCTGCCAGGAGGCTGAGGTGTTACCCCTGCTCAGAGCTGCTCCCTTATCACTGCTGTTATCAGGGTGATCTGAATGGGCTGCTGGGCAGCTGAGATGTTACCCCTGCTCAGAGCTGCTCCCTTATCACAGCTGTTATCTGAATGGAGCTGGAGCCTGTGCAGCATTCTCACTTTCCCAGCTCCATGCCTTTTTCAGCTTGTTTAGTCATCCTTTCTGCAGACTCAGGAGTGAAGCATGACCATAAATCCCAGAGCTGTGCACAGGGACTGGAGAGCTCTTGTGGCACAGGAATAGGAAGTTCTCCAGCTGCAGTCTGGCAGGATTGTCTGCCATGGATTGTTTGGTGCTGCTCTCTCAGCTCAGTCTCTAAATCTGAGGCCATTGCTTGGAACTCGTGCTGTCTGCAGATGATGCAAGCAGAACAATTTTGCTTTGTGAGGAGGGAGAAAGCTGCATCCTTTGGAGTCAAGTGCTCTCAGCATTACTCTGAGCTGCTGACAAATGCCATTGTGTGGCTCTAAAAGTCACTGTATCTGTGTTAAATAGCCGGGATATTGAACCCAAAGAGTTTAGAACTTCAAACCAAACCCTGAGGGCCTCTCCNCCCATCCCAAACCATTTGGGACTGTGTGATCAGTTCTCAGCCCTGAACATCCCCCGTGCTGTGTGCAGTGGCAGAGCAGCATGAGCCAGCAGCAGCTTGGTTTGGGGACACCTCTGTGGGGCGGCTCAGAGTTGTCCTGCTTGGAACCCAGAGATGGGAGGGGTTTTGGTTTCTTTTCCCCTAGCACAGCCCAGGGCTGCCTCAGCTGCTGTGTGTGCTCGCTGCTCCAGCGTGGGACACAGCTGCTGAACTTGGGCTGCCCCCTCCGCAGCAACTCGCTTTTGTTTTTACTTGCCAAGCATGAAACTGGAGGGGGGCTGGACAATCAGAGCGGGCTCCGGGCTGAGAGCTGCTGATGAATGGCTTGGGCACAGGAAAGCTCAGGGAGAGGTGCAGACCCTCTGTGGGATCTGTGGCACAAGCAGCCAGCCTCTCTAAAAGTGCCCTTTGTGGAATTCCAAAGGAATGTACTCGGTTGCACTGGTTATTTTGGGCTGCCATTGCCTCTACGGGGTTTTAATTGCGGATGGAAGGGTTTAGAGCAGGGTTTGCCAGGCCCTCATCCAACAAACACCAACTGTGGGCTTTGGGAGGCACCACGGAGGTGTCTGCTGGATCCACCTGCCTGGAGTGAATCTCTGGGCTCTGTGTGTGCCAGGGCTGGAGCTGCTCAGCTCTGACAGAAATTCCAGCTCTGGCTGCAGGAGAGCGCTAATTACTGATAGTAATTAGAAACTAATCTCCTATGTGAACAGGGCATTGTCTGGCCCTCCAGAGGATCAGCTTCTTGACCAGAATAGAACATTTCTATTTAATGGAAATTAAATAATTCTGAGTGGGAAGGAGTGAAGAGAGGTATCCTTGGGCATTCTCAGGAAGAAAGATGATTCTATTTTTGATACTAAAGATGCATTTTTACAGCATTGCCTTCATTGCAATCAGTGAAAACACTGAAAACTTGGCTGACATAGTGCATCCAGTTTGGTTTTCTCTTGCTTGTGTTGGATGTTATATTTTACTTTTTCACATGTTGTTTTTAAGGTAATTGAATTAATTAGTGCTGTTGTCCAAGTGGACATCTTTTCTCTGTGAACTCTGCTTTTCAACAGGTTGTGTGGTAAAATGTGAGTGTGGAATTGTGAAATAATCTGAAGTGTCTGAAACCCCAGTCTGTGCTGTGTTTGTCTTCAGCAGCAGTTTCCAGTCCCAGTCCCTTTCCCTGCACTGGCCCTCATGGCTGTGTGCCCACAGCTGGGAGAGCTCAGCTCCCCTTCCTGGGAGTTGGTAACAGCAAGCTTTTGTGGGATGGCAATCCTGCAAAATCAAGGCCTGCTGGTATATTCCAGATTACAGGTAAATATATTGCTACTAATAGTGTGGATTAGCAAATCCTACTGGCACTATTAGAGTCATTCCACTGGACACAAGTTGTCTCAAAAGTTCAGGTTTTCCTCTGTGTTTTGGCCCTTCAGATTTCCATGATTTCAGATGATAATTTCCATGATTTTCAGATGATTGGGGTTTTCATCTCTCCCTCAGTATCTCTAAAGGATTTAACCCTGGGCATGAGCAGTAAATGACTGGCCAGGGTTCAGCTGTGCATCATCCCAAGGTGCAGGCTCGTGTTCTCCACAGCAATGCACAGTCTCTAGGAAATAGTTATTAATACACAAGTAATACAAAATGCACAGAACACCTGCAATAAACCTGTGATTCCTGAGGGGTTCCCATTCCAGGATTCCCATGGGGCCACCTGGAATGGCTGCTCCTCTCTGCAGGACTCAGAGTAACCTCTGGAGCACAGACAGGGGTTTCTGTGCTTCATACAGAGCTGGGAATGTTTGCTGCATTGAAATGTTCCTGTGAAATAATCCAAATTACTGCATTNTGAGTGAGAGGAGACACATAAAGGGTGCTTCTGGTTGTTTCCTCTCAAATTTTCCCACTGACACAGCTTTGAAGTGACCATGTCCATGGTTTGAGTGATCCACAGCAAAAATGAGCAACACAGCTGAAAAAGTATTTTTGCTCTCGAATCAGAGCATGTAGGGAGGCACATGCTTTGAGGAAAGCAAAATGCAGTTCCTTCCCCACTGCTGACTTTCAGACAGGCCACGATCATGGATAATGCTGGAGAGACAGATCTGGGCTATGCTGAGGTTAAAAGAGGGAAAACGAACATGCATAAGCTACACAAAGTGCCTCAAACACCTGACTCACACAATTCCACCAGCCTGGGGACTCTGGATTTCCCAAGTTTGCTGCCTTAGTGCTGAGAGGAAGGGAAAGAGCTGGGGGAAACTCCTGCTGTCAGTACCACGTCCTTCCCATCTGGCACCCTCCCAACCTCGATAACTTTGCCTGTCCTTCAATTGAGCAACAATTTTAAATGTGGATTAAGATCTTTAAGTGTAGCATTCAGTCTCAGTGCATCCAAAAGCAAAAGGTAACTATAAAAGTAACTACTGGTAGGGGTTGGAGACAAAAGACTAATAAAAACATCTTTTTTTCCCTCTTTAATCTCTTAGGGTTGAAAACCAACAGTGACTGAGTTTTCCTGTAGACGTTTCTGACATTTTAAAATATGGCAGGGCAGACAAGATTTTCATGTTAAGGCTGCTTCTTTAGAAGCTGCTGATGGGAACATTCTGCTCAAGGGAATTTAAAAACCCTGAAGTCATGGAAGCTTCAGAGACCATTTGAGCTGAGGTACAAAGAATGTTTAAATTCTCTTCACTGCCTGCAAGTGTACACTGATTTATTCCACAAACACATTTCTTTATCTTTCCCAGCTGAGAAATCAGAAGTTGTGTGTCAGAACTGGATGACTTGTCTCTTTCTTGCTTGATTCTTCTGAACTATTTCCATGGAAACTTTGGCTTCATACAATGGGATGGGTTCATCCAGCTGAGGTCTGAAATGAAACAGTAAAAAGTGCTGGTGAGCACACTCAGACCACAGAAATATCACAGGACAGACTTTACTTTCACTGTGTCAGCCTCCCTCCTCACACTAAGTAACAGGCTTATGGCTTTGCTCCAGTGCACAGAAGAAGGGAAAAGCCCCAGAGCAAACAGGAGCCCCAAATAAATGAAAATAGATCCTTCTTGCAGGGGAAAAAAGGGGTGGTGGGGAGGTTCTGCTCAGCAGCAGTTGTTACCCTGCTTTAAGGGAAGGGATCTCCCATTCCCACCTCACGATGGGAATCTTCCCATAACTTCCTGAAGCTCTGCTCAGGAGCGTTAGTGCTGGCCAGAGTTTTCTGCTTCTAATGCTGAATTTAAAAACCCACAAAAATCTCCACATTGCAGGGGGATAGAATATAAGAAAGTAAAGACAGTGTAGAAAGAAATCTCACCCCTTAGGAGCTGCAGCCAGGCCAATTATCAAAGATCAGGAACAGACCTGACTTTACCAGGCCACAGCTGTACCCAATGAGAAGCAGAGTGCTATAAAAGAGTGGGGTGGTGTTGGGAAGGGAACTGGAGTTAGTTGGGTGCTTTGTGAAGGAGAAAGAGTCAGTGCTCTGAGGAGATGCCCGTGAGAAACACCAAGAAGGTGTGAAATTTTTGCAAAAAGGACACAACACTATGGAACCCCTGCAATAAGATGACAACACCACGTCTCTCACCTGAAAATGCCATTTGATAATTTGTCCATGATATCTTCCAGGATGGGTATCCAAGAGGACTGTTAAGGAACAATAGAGCTGGAGAGAAATCTCTTTATAATCCCCTGTGCTGGTCACAACCCTATACTGATACAAACTCAGCAAGATCAAGGCAAAAAGAACCTCAATCCCAGGCTTTAGATCAGATTTTTTGCACTTGTTTCTCTATCAGAAACCTCCTTTCCTGAAATAGGATGCAGAAATGAAATATGGAATATTTCAATTATTTCAATATGAAAATCTTCAGTATTTCAATATGAAACACAAGTGCAGCCTGCACTAGTACAACATCAATCAGTCATTAATCAATGGCATTTTTTGTGCAGAATGAAGAGAACAGATTTTGGGACCGGGTAGCTGTTGTGACAGGTTATACAAGTACCTGATAAAAAGCCAAAATGGAGTTGGGAACACAGCAGAGGCTGGGAATTCTTGGAGCACACTGCCTTGTGAGGGGTCTGTGAGTTAATGACACCAGCCAAGACAGCCCAATACATGGGGCTGTATTTAATCAGTCTTTGTTTGAAACCCAAACAAGGTTCATCCTTCATTTTAAGGGCAATCAGGCTGATACTTGGAGCTCAGGTTCTTTTAAAAAGTGATCAATTTGTGATTTCTTCAGATGACTTTAATGCCAGATGCTCCAGAATTTCACAAGATATACAAATTCCTAAAGCCAAAAGCACCCAAACCTTCCAAGGCTGAAAATGTCCTGCCCAGGGAGCTCAGTCCAGCTGCACCAGCCCAAATGTAGGAGATATTCCTTTTCCTGTTCCCAACCAACCTTGTGCCTCCATAAATTTCATGTACAAAACAAATCAGTACATCTTCTATACATTGAAAATAAAGGAGAAGTTAGGAAGCCAAAACAATTCTACTTTTGCAGTGAACACGAGTGAATTAAGTTTACAGGTGATGCATCTAATGCCCAAAAACACAACAGCTAAAAAAAATTCCAAAATGTCTCTTGCATAAAATAAAATCCTATAGAGTCAAATCTTCAATTAATTGGTTCAATAATGAACCAAAACACTGCGTTTTTCCCCCCAGAATGGGGGTTTTGCAGCACTGCTTTTAATGAAGCTTGTAGGGCCATTTCCAAGGCCAGGTTGGACACTGGGGCTTGGAGCAGCCTGGGGCAGTGGAAGGTGGCACTGCATGAATTTCAAGGTCCCTTGCAACCCAAACCAGTGTGGGATTCCACAATGAATTTAAAAGGAATGCAGAAAATCCCTTAAAACCTGAGTGTCTCCCATCTGTTATCTCCTCCTTTCAGCTGGCTGCCAGCACTGAGCACAGGAGAACCTCTCAGTGGGATCTCCCAGCTGTGCTTTCACTCCTTCCAGCAGTGACAATTCCACAGCACCACCAAAGGATATCGAGATACTTCCCCTGCTGCACATTGGACAAGTTCCACACCTCCTCGTTCAGGAAGGACACTGTGGCTCCCTTAAGGAACAAGGAATGGCTGTCTGGAGGATCCAGCTGAAGCAAATGGAAGAAAAATGTTATTTAGTTACATTTCCCCATACAAATATAAAGGTTAAATGGTTATTTTATAGAGATGCTTAAACCAAACAAAAAAAGAGAGTGTCAGTGTAACACTGGCAGGTTGAAACAACAGTTTCATGTGTCTGTCTGTCTGTTTGCTGTGGGACCAGCTCCTCCCTGCACAGGCCCCTTTACCTGCAGGTTCCTCTCGGTGGTTATCCAGCGTCCCCCGACCCCAAGCAGGGTGATGATGTCGTGCTTGTGAGGCAGCAGCTGGCACCTGGAAGCTGGTTCATCTTCAGCACTGTACAGCCTCACTGGGAGGGAGAACAAATTCCTCTGAGCTCAGCAGGAAATGTGCAAAATTCAGTTTGTATTTATTGCCACACCTTTCAGTGGAACTCTGAGGTTTTTTTGTTGTTTCAGCTAAAAATGGTTGAAAACTCTGAATTTATTATCTCATTTATACTCTGAGTATTTTATATACTTTACTCAGAATAATATAATAGCTCTGAAGTTACTATTCAGAGGAATATTTTGTTTATATTCATATTCATAATACTGTATAGTAACAATATAGACTGTCATACAGTATATTACCTATATTATACTATATTGGAGTATACTATAATATATATACTATATAATATATATACTATAATATAGTATATTACATATATTATACTGTATTATATAGTATATAACATAATAGTACATATTACACATAATATTGTATACTATACATCATACACTATATATGCTATAATATATATAATCTATAGTATATATAACTTAATGCATAATGTAAAAAACACCAAATATAACTATAAAATATAGTATATTATACTATATCTATTATAGTATATATAATGTAAATTACTATATAATTAAAATTTACAAATTATACATCTAGATACTATTATATATTTAGATAGTATTATATACTTATATACCATTATATAAAAATATATATCAGCAGTATCTTATATATCAAATATACAATAATAGTAATAAATATATATAAGATCTAGTATAATGATATTTTATTTACATAACTCTAAATAGTAACTTCAGGGATTTCATCTATTAGAGTTGGTCACCAATAGAGGTTGACAGTGCTGTTAATTAATCAGGGTTAATTTCTGTATCCAAACAAGGCAGCAAACTCTCTAGAGCCATTTTTAATTTCCAGTTTCAAAGAGAGGACTATTTCAGCCCCATTCAGCAGCTGCCTGGGAGGTGCTGGCAGGCAGCAGTGGGTGCCAGAGCAGCTCTGGCAATGAGGGGACGCCATTGCCAGGCATTGGAATATCACCAATATAACTGGGTGGGATGTGCCTGAGCTTGTCTGGCCCTTGGAGCTGGACCAAATAGTGGCACTGTGGNCGGGGAGAGCCCCGGGCCGGGAATGCCGTTCCCTGGAATGCCGCTCCCTGGAACGCCAGCTCTGGGCAGTGCCGTCCCTCAGGGCTCGGCAAAGGGCACAGGGAGCGGGGAATGAATGTGGGAATGTTGTCCCGGTGTCAGGGAAAGGAAGCCGGTCCCTGGATGGGGCTGTGTCCCTGTGGGAGCCTCTGCTCGGCTGAGCAGGCACGGTTGTGCGTGATATTCCCTTTTGTTCTGGTTCAGCTGCTGCTTTATTTGGGGTGAAATATGGGGTTTGCTTGTGGAAAACGGTATTTTCTGTGAATTCCAGCGCCGTGAAGGGAAAACGCTTCCATGGCTCATCAGAGAGTATTGTTTAGGAAATAATTCCTGTTAGTGAAACAGCCAGCATTCCAGGTGGCATGGTGTGGCCCTCGTTAAAGCAAGAAACACTCTGTCCTTTATCTCTTCCCACTGCCCAGCTTCAAAGTGCTTCTTTTTTGGAGTTTATACGGCAATAGATATTTAAGGCAATACCTGAGGATATTAACTGAATATATATTGGAGTCATGCTCTGAATGGATGCATTTTCTTAAATCAAAAAGCCAGACTGTATTTTGGGTGTTGCTAACTCTGGAGAGTGTTACTTCACACCATCTTTCCTTCTTTCTTTTACCTTTTGCTGTAGTCACCTGTAACTTCCCTTGCTGGGTATGACCTGGTGCTGTTCTCACCCAGGAAACTTCCTCAGCACCCAGGGAGCAGCTGGAGCTGGGCCTGGAGGGATTTAGGTTGGGTTTCAGGGCAAGGTTCTTGCCCAGAGGGTGCTGGCACTGCCCAGGGAATGGGCACGGCCCCGAGGCTGCCACAGCTCCAGGAGCCTTTGGGATGCCCAGGCTGGGCTTGGTGGGCTCTGGGCAGGGCAGGGCTGGCACTGGGGGGTCCCTGGGGGTCCCTGCCCTCAGGACATTCCATGATCCTTTGCAGAGTAGCTGTGTTTGCCTGAGAATGTTCCATTCTGTCCTGGTTCCTAGATAAAGCAAGGATTGGGCTCTCAGAGCCATGACCTGCAGTGCCTGTTCCCTCTGTCACTGCTGTTTGGTGGCCTTTCCTTAATGCCCCTAATCCTGCAATTAGGATAGATTTGGCTTCAGGAAAGAATGTGAATCCAGCAGTGAAATGTTTGTGAATCATGACGTTGGGCAGCCTTTTATGGCCTGTCTTTGTACTGTAATCAGGGATTGGAATTGCAGCTTTCAGGAGGATAACTCCAGGGAAAGGAGGAATAGAAGAATAAAGGGGAAAAAGTTAGGGAAAATACAAGCAATGGGTTTAGGAATGGGGAGATCAGTGGGGTGGGAGTTTTCTGTAAGAAATTCTTCCCTGGCACAGGGTGCCCAGAGCAGCTGGGGCTGCCCCTGCATCCCTGGCAGTGCCNTATAATATAATATAATATAATATAATATAATATAATATAATATAATATAATATAATATATAGGTATAATATATATTACATATTATATAGTATATAGTATTATATATATTATATACATATATTACTATATTACTACATTACATTACCATATTATGATATTATGTTTGCAAATTGACCACCACACCTTACTAAACCTCATCAGCCACTGACATTATTTTTCTGTTGAGGTTTTATTTCACTTTGTCTGAGGCACAAATCCTGACAGACCCACTGAGGTCAACACTCAAGTCCAAAACAAAGTCCAAATGTTGTCAAAGGAACAACCCCAGTAAGAACTGGAGTTCTCACCCCAAACCTGATAAATTCCTCATCTCCATTTCTACTTTTTCAGGGACTAGAAAATTCAGGAAATGTGGCCCCAGGGTTTGTTTTTCATGCCTGCAAAGCTTGTTTGTAAAGTCTGGGCACCAAAACTGCAGAGCAATCCAGCAGGGGTCTTGGCAGTGCTGCCTGATGACAAAATGCACCTCCCCTCCTTCCCTGCCTGTGTGTGCAAGGATCCCCCCAGTCCTTCCCAAGCCTGTGCAGGATTTCTGTGCCTCAATTCCCCCGTGGCACTGAGCCAAGCTCTCCTGTCCCACTGCCTGAGGGCCAGAGCAGTTCTGAAGGGAACTCACCCTTTCCTGGAACACAAATGTCATCTCCTCCCCAGGAGAATTCTGCTGAGCATACAGAGCCTTCATAGTGACCTGAAAAACACAGCAACCAAACTGTGACAGCTGCAGGGGCTCTGGCAAACAAGGCACTAAAGCCCTGCTAAATTAAATTAAATTAAATTAAATTAAACCACTCTATAAGAATCCCCGGCATTGTTTGCAGGAAATTTGAGCCTTTGTGATACAGAAGCTCTAAACCAGATCAACAGGTTTAGATGCCCGTAACAGAGAAAATCCTCAGGAGTGAGGATCCCAAAATCCCAGACTGGGTTGGGTTGGNCAGTTCTGGGGGTGCTCATTAGCTGAGGGTTTATTGGGGGTCCCACCCCCAGGAGCAGCAGGGTCCCTGAGGGAGAGCCTGGGGAGAGAAGGGGCCAAGAGAGAGCAAAGAGCTGAGAGAGCCTCTCACTCACTCCCCTGGCACAGCTCCAAAGGGAAATTCAAGGTGGGCACAGAATCAGACCTGGGCCAACAGGATTACAGGATTAACTGATACTGCAGGGGAGGATCACAGGCTTGCTATAAACCCCACATTTTCAAGGGGTGAGACAGAGCAAACCATTTAACTAAAGTGTAACACCACACACACCAACAAACCAGCAAAGAGGTGGTAAAAACCCCAGCAAAACCCCTGGGCTTATTTAGCAAAAGTTGTCACAGTGAGTCAGGAAGGCTCTCCCTGCAAGCAGGTCAGCACCACTGGCTCCTGCTTCCTCTTGTATTAAGAAGCCATGGAGAGGATATTGTGCCATATTTTACAAAATCAAATTAGGGATTCAATTTTGATATAACCAAGTTTAAGGGAGCCCCCTCATAACTCAGGAATTCATGGCAGTCACAGAAAACACAACCCAAATTTAGACATTTAGAATCCCAGACTGGTTTGGGTTGGAAGGACCTCAAAGCCCACCCAGTGCCATGGCAGGGACACCTTCCACTGTGCCAGGCTGCTCCAAACCCTGTCCAACCTGGCCTTGGGCACTGCCAGGGATGGGGCAGCCACAGTTTCTTTGAGAAGAACAAATTTTGAGCAAAAGAATAGCTTGTTCAAGGTTACAAACTGCTGGAAGAACAGGGACTCCTACATTTAGTATCCTACTCATTAAAGTAATCTATGTCCAGAAAGGGAAAACTGGAAGCTCACAATAACTGAAAACAATGTTTCAACATCAGGCTTTCCCTGACCCTGCTCCCTGAAAATTCCAGTCTCCATTTCCAGTCTCCTTGTTTCACCCCATCTGTTAGTCTGGTCCCAGGTGATAGTCCCAGACTGAGTCAAAGGGAAGAAAAAAGCAAATTTCTCCTCATTACATTTTTTGACAGGTTAGGAAAAGGTATAACAACAACGAAGCAACAGAATGGGAAGTTAGAAGGGAAATAAAAGGAAAAGGAAAAAAACCAAACCAAGGTCAGCTCATGTGGTTTAGGCCATCATGAACTGTGAAATGGTGACAGCAAAGAAAAACCCTTTGAGTGTTCAAACTTCTGTGATTTGTGGGGCAGCTGGAATTTTGGCATGTTGGCATGGAAGGAGTGTGCCCAGAGCTCCAAGGTAATGGGGTCCCTTTTAGAAAAGCTAAAACAAAGTCTACAGTAAAAATTATTATTAGCAAAATTTATAATTTACAAACCCAAATAATGCTCGTGAACCAGGACAACTTCACAGACACCAGACTCCTCAGAATCCAGGGGCAGAATTCCTGGAAAAGAAGGAACACAGACCTTGAATTTCACACAAGCAATCATTCCAACCAAAGCACTGTCCCAAGGAATTCCCTGCTCCTGTCTGGGTTCAGTGCCCTCTTGGCAGGCTTAGGACAGGTCAGAGACCTTGGCCAGCTCCCAGCCCGAGGTGTCCCTGGGCACAAGGGAGTTCCAGAGGTGCTTCCACAGCATTTTGGGATTGAGGGAGGAAGCATGGGGACAGCACAGAGTGCTGGCAGGTGTCAGACGTTTTTGTCTGAGCTCATTCCACACTCTGAGTGCTCCCCTTCCAGGGCAGGCCATGGATCCCAGAGCAGGGATGTGAGCACAGAGCAGCCTCCCCACAGTGCTGACCCTGGGCTTTGCAAAGGCAGCACCAAGGGCACAGGAAAAAGCAGAAGATGGGCACACAGGAATGTGGAAGTTTCAAAAAGCAGGAATAAGAAAGAGGAAGTGCAGGAAAAACTAACCAGGGAAGGCAGAGCAAAAGCAGAGTAGGCAGGAAAAGTCCTTCCATCCTGGTTATAGCTGAGCTTTTTACCCTCACTGGCCACAGAACTCTCCTGAACAGGAGGTTCTGACACCTGCTCCATCTCCTGAATTAACATCCCTCTATCCCAGGGAAATAATTATTTTCTTCCCTCTCCCCCACAAATCTCACTCCATTTAGACCAAAGGGCTTTGCCTTGCAAAT